TATATATATACACACACACACACACACACACACACACACACACATATGTATATATACATATACATCTGGCTGGCCTGCAAATTTCTATGTAGACTGGTTGGGCTTCAAACTCACAGACACCTCTGCCTCTGCCTCCAAGTCCTGGGGTTAAAGGTGTACATGAACACACCAGGCTTGGAAAACTTTGAATGAAAAGCTCTGGCTAGCTTTGTGCAGTAGTTTTTGTCTATAATGCCAGTACAGAGACAGAAGTCACCCAGTCTGGGCATAGTAAGGACCTATCTAAAAGAGAAAAGGGCTTCAGCTGGGGAAAATCTAGTTTCTTCCATGTAACCCTAAACTCCAAATCTATTATGGTGATGGTGAGAAAGCTGTATGAGCTTACTAAAATTCATTGACTATATACATACAATGGATGAATTTTAAGTATACTTCAATAAAGCTGGAGTTTTTCTGTTTGTTTTTTAATCCTGGTTATCATCAATCTTGTTATCATTTTTAAAGGTTTAACCCTACAACTGAAACCACTCGTACTTTTTATGAGTTTCCCCTACATATTCCCTACACCTTCTCCAAAGCCTGCCTCCCAACACCATTTTTTGCAATACTTCTGAATTAGAAATCAGTCTTTCATGGAACTAAAAGTCAATGAGATACTATGCCCAGTCCTTATTTATCACACATGTATCTCGTATTTGCTGAAACTCATCCCTGCCCTACTTCTAGCTATCTAAATAACAGCACATTAGTATGGTTACGGTGGCCATTTTATTCCTAGGTTGAGGAGAACAGACTGCAATTAGTCACTAGACCTATTCAGGTACTGACAACCAACTGCCTGTGTGCCACATGAGCTAGGAAGGTATTACATTCAATTTATAAGGTATGTATGTAGGGAGGGTGTACCATAGCACACATGTGGAGGTCAGAGGAAAGCCTGCAGGTGCCAGTTCTAACCCAATCCATCAGGCGTGGTAGCAAGCTCTCTTAATTGTCTGGTTGTTACATTCTTGAAGAGTTGCGGACGTACACACACTAGCATAGACAACACAATGGAATAGAGAATGTACATGCCTCACAAAGCCTCAGAAATGGTTTACTGAACCCTGACCTAGATGTTAGCCTATTATAACTCAGATTAATTCAATGAGTTATTAAATGAGTAGCAATTATGTTTCTTTATTTTTAGAATTCCAATACAAAAAATCTGACAAGAATACAATCATTTAAATTCTGACACCATTTATTTATAGATATTCCAAGTGGTAACTGTCAAAGCTTATATGGCTCTAGGCTTTCATGTAATCTTGTTTAATTAGCCAAGGTCAATTAGTTAATATGTGTCAGCTTGAGTTACAGGCATGTACCATAACAACTTTGAAAAGACTTCTAAATACAATCTAATGAGTAATTATAAATTAGCACTTCCTGCAGAAAGGGACACTTAATACAAGGTATTTTGTAGCAGGCACAAAAGACTGCTGGAAGAAAAAAGTATACATACCAGACCATAAGCCATACTTCGTTCATGTTCTTGAGTTATATCTGCTACATATGCAAATACAACAGAGAATGTCACTGCAAAAACTCCAGAAACAGAGATCACTGCAAAGTACCACCTAAGAATGAAAGGCAACCAAGAAAAAATTATTAGAACAATCACCATTACTTAAAATGTTCCTTCATGTCCATTAGTTACAGTAAGAATGGCGCATTTCAGTCAAAAACTTTCTAGGACAATGCAAGAATGAACAATCTATAATCCTAGGCCCGTTACTGTGAAAGCAACAAGCTAAAAACTGATGTCTCTCACTCTTTACAACTTTCTATCCAAGTATCGTACAGAAACAAAATCCGACAACAGAGACCGACAAACAAGCCACTACATGCTTACAGTGAGCCTAAACAGAGCCGCATGCTTCCCTTCAGTTGTTTTTGGCTCTTCAATTGTTAGTGAAACAAACTCTTTAAACTGGAGAAACCTGAATGGCAGTGTCTATAAAATTAAGACAGTTACTACACAGAATAAACAAGGGGCTGGAGAGATGGCTCAGTGGGTAGGTAAGTAACTTGCTGCACAAGTAAAAGAACTGAGTGTAGACCCCAAGCACCCATGTAAAAATGGGTGTAGAGGTGAGCATCTATAACCCCAGCGCTGGAGCATGGAGACATGCAGATCCCAGGAGCTCAACAGCCAGTCAAATCTAGCTTAAAGAGCATGTTTTCTGGATTTAGGCTCTGCCTCAAAAATCACAGTGGAGAAATAATTGATACTAACAGCCCAGTAATAATACTCTCTGGCCTCCACATGAATCCAGATGGGTGAGTGTACACTTACTCACTAACACACACATTTTGAAAGACAAGCTGTATTTTACTAAAAATGACTCCAAACTAGTCAGCTAATAGAAAAAAAACCTATTGTAATGGCGACATTGTTTTCTTAAGTATTGCTCAATCATTATAAACTTTCACGTTATCATTCCACCAGAACATTACTGCTACTAAATGTTTTCAAACACACTCCTTTCCAAAATTCATTTTTAGCTCTTCCCCTAGATTCCTTTGGTAAGATTTCAATTGCATCTTTAGTATTCATCAAAGGCTTGGTTTTCAAAGCTTGACAAAAACTAATTAGAAGACTCTTTACAAATCCCCTAAATAATTCTAGATACTCACTGGAAATATACATCTACACCATGGAATAGAAAGAGCACATAAAGAATCAATGTTCAGACACACAACTATTACCCTCCTAGTTCAGAGCATTTGCTGTTCTTTTGTGTGTAAACTTGTCCTCTTTCTCAAGTGAAAAATAAAACACAAACACACACACACACACACACACACACACACACACACACACAGAACAGGGTTTCTCCATGTAACCCCACTGGTTCTGGAACTTACTCTATAAACCAGGAAGACCAAAGAGATCAGGAGATCCACCTGTCCCTGTCTCCTAAGTGCTGGGACTAAAGGTGTGTCACTTTCCTGGCTATAATCCTAATTTTTTATCACAGAGGCTAACATGTTCTTCTAACAGAAGCATACATATGCCTGAAATCTGACCAGAGATGTACATTATGTAAGTAAAAGCTGGATTTAAGAGAAGATGGCGTTGAAGGCTGTGGTGCATGTAACACAGCACTCTTTGGGGCTGGGCAGGATTTAGAGGTCAAGTACAGTTTGTAAAACAAAACAAAACATATCAAAAACCAAAAAAAAGTGGGGCTGGAGAGATGGCTCAGTGGTTTAGAGCACATAACTACTCTTCCAGAGGTCCTGAGTTCAATTCCCAGCAATGACATGGTGGCTCACAACCATCTGTAATGGGATCAGATTCCTTCTTCTGGTGTATACATAAAGTACATGAATAAATAAATTAAAAACAAAAAAGTGTGTAGCCATATTGTCCCGGTGCCATCTACGGCTGACACGACAGCTGGTGCTTCAGTATTGCTAAGACAGCTTAGGACGGAAGACTGGAGAAACGACGTCTTGTTCACTGTAACTTATATTCAAGCTCTAGACCCTTAGCCCCAAAATCTTTTTGATAGGAAAAGAAAAGCAAGTTTTGAGCAACAGATTTTTTAGCAATCATTTTGGACTTTACTAGTAAAATCCATTCCTAATTAACAGTGATGAACTGTACAAAATCCCTACTTAAGAATAGAA